ATGCCAAACGTAACTCGGAATCAAACAATCGCATTTATCGATAAACACAACGTTGACGACTGCGCTTGCGCTAATGCTCGTCTCGTGTCGCCGTCAAGGCCCGTTTCTGCGTCGCACGAGCGAAATCGGATACGATAACGATGTAAATGTGTGGATTTGAGAAAAGTGAGAAAAGTGCGGTTTAGAGTCTGAACAATCCACGAGAAACGGAGCGGCCATGCGAATTGTATTTGTCTTGTGCAACTGTTAACCGCCCGGAGACGGAAGATGCAATTTCAGAGATTCCGAAAGTAAAATTGATGCAATAACGGCGTGAGCCAATTTAAACCGTCACTCTTAATCCCGAAAGTATTGGGAGCCGCCGCTCGTTCAGCACGGAGCGCGACGGCAGTGGAAACAGCGCGTCATGGCCAGACATCGAGAGTCTGACTCATACAGGCCGCTACCACTGTCGTCGAATTTTCAGCGACGTACGGGCGATTTGCGCGAAATCCTGCAAGGAGGAACGAGACCCCCGCTGCGGTTCGACTCGGCGGGAAGCCGGCATTTCCGCATTCCCGAGGCACGTCAAAAGAAAGAGAGAGAGATGTCGGCGTGGGCGGCTTTTTCGCGTGTATACATGTTTTTCCGCCGGAGGTTGTACAACCCTCGGCGAGAGCTCGGCAGTTCTCCACCCGCTTCGCCCGCCCGCTCGGTGTCCCCGTACACGTCCCACGCTCATCACTTTCTCCGCTCCCTCCTCTTTTCTATGATCCTCGCCCGCCTGGCACTGACGAAGAGGACTGACGACGCGAGATGCGAGATCGCCGGAGTTGCCGAGAGGAACGAGGATGGAGGAGAAGCAGCGACGAGGAACTGCCGAGTGCCACGTGGAGGAGAACCGGGAGAGGGGGTGTTGCGGGAACGGAGAAGTCAGCGGTAAGGTGGAGGGAGGAATAGAGCGAGAGAAGCGAGCGAAGGGGAGAAGAAAGCGGCAAGATAGAGGAGAAGACGAGGAGAGAAAGTCAGCGCGAAGCGCGAGAAAGAGGGCGAAACAGAGAGCGGCCGAGAGCGAGCGAGAGGCAGAGGGCGAGGGAAAGAGAAAGAGAGGTGGCACGCGCAATGCGGGTATTGATTCACGGCGGCGGCAGCCAGCCTGAAACACACGACCGAGTCGACTCGATTTACCGCCGAGACAAGGAGGGAAAGGGGAGGAGAGAGTGTCGATCGGTTCCGCTCGGCGATCACTCATCGCCGATCCAACGAGAATTTACACCGATCGCCGATTTCGGTGGTGGAACCCCGCGGAAGCTGAACAATCTCCGCGAGGAGAGTACCCTGGCTGGAGAACTTTCATTGCCGCCATGAGATACGCCGTGATCGAAGATTGCAGAAAGAGCGATCCTCATGAATGTTGCAGTATGCAATTTTGGAAGAATGCAGTGAAATTTGATTACACCGAAGAAGGAGAAGGAGAAGATATATAATTAAAAAGCGAGGTGAATGTAACACCCACGTCCTTACAGACGTTATGTTTTTAATCTTACAGGCGAATTTCCCCCGTTTCGGCCAAGAAAGAGAAAGAATTCGCGGACTACCTACGAGAGAACGCTTCCTTCCATCCTGCACATATCGCAAGGCGCATAATTGCGCGAATAACTGTGAGCAGTCGGAGAAAAAAATTGCGAAAAGTGGCGCGTGTTTGAAAGCGCATGAGGGGAGGGGTTGTAGTAGTAGGTAGATCCGGTTTCAGGGTTAGGACCGATCAGGGTTAGATGGTATCGGCCGGGGCTTTTGCATGCGCCTAACATGGCCGGGGATACCCTGGCAATGCGTAGGATTGGACTGCGAGCAGTCGGCCATGCGAGCGGTAATGGAAATGCTTGGCTCAATGCGAAACCCACTCGGTGTATGTGTGGAGCGGAGGGAAGGGGAGGAGAAAAAATATTCTACGCAATTATACGCATTTCTCTCGGCTGTTGATGTCGAGCGTATAAATTGATTATTGTATCTTATCACGTTGATTTGTGGAACTTGCGTACATGGATAGAAAAGAATTACCTCTCGCAGTTAAAAAGTAACTTCAACGAGTAAAAATTAGTCCGTACGATACAACTGAAATTTAGCTGATTTTTCGATTTCTGTATCTAATTTTTAGCTTCCACGGCTAAAAACTAAGTCTGGTGATTAAATTTCAATTGTATTACAACTGCTAATACTTTTTCTTCCGTGTAGGATATTAGGGAAATTTGTCCCAAATCCGAATCAGAAATCTAGATGGCGAGATCTGGCGAGAAAAATATCGATCTACCAACTGCCAATTCTTGTAATGGAAGTTAAATCAGGAGCGATTGCACTAATTAAGGGAAAGAATGCGAGAGTTCGATCAACTCTGTATTCGAACGTGCTGATCGTAGAAACAAGGGCCGTTTGTAAATAAACTGCAGATCTCGGTGTTACATAACGACCGCATAATAGTCGCGAAATTAATATATAGAAGCATTATGTCGCGGCTTGTGCAAGCGGATGCAATATTTATGCCCCACCTGCAGATTGGGTAAATTGTGCGCGAGCTTAACACACAAGCATACATGCCTAGCATCGATTCGCGCTTGTTAATAAAATCCGCCTGTCGGGACATCGATCCGGCAACCGCGAAGACAACGCGGAATCGAGCGCGATAAATAAAGGAGGGTGCTCGGATAGGTACGTCCCTTAATAGCAAAGGTCGAGAACCTTGTCGAGTTGACTCGCGGGATAGCGCGCAGACCTACTTCCACGTAACGTCGATTCCTTTTATTGATTCTATTTTTACGAAGCCGAGAGAAAGAGAGAGGGGGAGGGGAGAAGAGAAGAGAGAGCTTGGAGAGAACGCTTACCCTTGCGACGATCACCGGTGTCGCGATTCGTTACCGATTTGACCCTTTATCGAAAAATAATTATCCGGAAAGTAGAATTTGGGGCGCATCCTGGAGGGAGGGGGTTGCCCGGGTTATGCACATTTCGGCGTGCCAGGAACGTAAGATATTCGTTTTAAAAATCAGACGCATCTCGACGTGGATGTCGCTGATTAATTAAAAGCTATGAAATATGAGAAAGAGTATATATATATATATATATATTCTTATTATATATATATATATATACTCTTATAATATATATATATATACTCTTATTATATATATATATATACTCTTATTATATATATATATATATATATATATATTAAGTAGGATACTGATACTCTAAATAATCCAATTAAAAAAAGACTGAGATATTTATGGTTTGCAATATCGCTCAGACAAAGAGCAATTATGAATGCGGTTAAAATGAAATAATGATAACTCCGTGGATATAAATGCAACGTTATTCTACTGAGAGAGACAGAATTTACCGACTAAAAGCAAGAATTTTAACGAACGAATGAAAGTACCGGTGCGGTATCACCAATTCGATATTCATAAGGAAGTCCATAAGAAGATCGACGTGCTCGTTTCGAAAATAGAAGACGCTCGTCGATCCACATTTTGAGGAGGAATAACAACGACGACAAGAAGGACGACGGGGGAGGGGAAATGTCATGAAAACGATCTCGTCTCGGCGGGGAGAAATCATAATTAGATTCGCTGGTGAACGGCCGGCGACGGCGCGTTGCTGGAAATAGAAAGTAACGGGCAAACAATCGAAGGCTAATCGATAGCGTGTAAAGCCGCACGCGGGACGGTCGGGGAGTACAGACACCTCGCTACATTAGACTTTAATTCAGCCGCAGTAGTGCATGACCCGGCACGGTCAGACGCAGCCCTCATCTGGCACCATCTCCGCGACGCGCACCGAAGGCTCCGGTTATCGTTGGTGGATAAATCCACTCGGACAAAGAGGGTTTTAAAAGCTACCCGCGATAATCTCGTGTGCCTTAGCGTAAAATTATGCGCGGATGAGCGGACGTTCAGCAGTCGCGATAAAGAAGGCGGGAAGAGAAATGAAGAAGGAAGAAAAAAAGAATCGACGGATGTAATTGTAGTGTAAAAGGGATTTTCCAACACACCTCTTGTAAAATTTCATAATTTATCATATTCCGCCCGTGTCCCTTTTCTCGCCTTGTTTTTCTTCCTTCGTTACTTTAAGACAGTAAGCGGATAAAAAGCTTTCCAGTTTTATAGAAGCAGAGAAGTTACCTAACGAGTTGGCGCTCTGACGAAATTTTTATTCGATCGATAATATAACCTCGACTTGAAATTGAAAGACATTAAAAAAATTGTGTGAAAAGTAAGGAAATTTTATATTATTTTTTATTTCAGATGTTACTTTTTAAGTATCATCAAAAATAATTTGACAGTCGATAGTACCGAGTCAAATGATAACAGTTCGCTTGTTAGGGTAGCGAAGTATCGAACGAGAGCTCGAGCTCTCAGTCTTGCTTACCGACGCTTGTTTAGGGGTTGAAAACACGGGGGTGAGATATATTACCGACAGTTGCGGCTCGATGGATACCTATCGACCGGCGAGAGCATTGCGTTATCTCTGTGAAACTTGTATCGTTTGATAACGTTATCAACATTATCCACGCTGACATTACGTCGATAGCAGCGGTGATAGCAGGGGGTTGAAACGATAAAATAATTAGCGCATGGTACAGATTGGTGGTTTTCCGGCATAAAATAACCACGTCGGGAATTAACCACGAGATGTCTTAATCGAACATTCGCTTCTCAAACTTCTCTCTCCTCAGCAATTCAGTTTTCGCACTTCCAAATCTATAATAACGTCCCATTAATTCCGATACAATTCTTATTTCACGTCTTCTATTCTTTTAAGATGGCATCCGTTAATTTTTGTAAGCTCTTGAAATTCAAATACCTACGTACAGCCGGAGCTTTGCTTTCATTAACAAAGTCTCTTATCTTTAAACTCTACTTAAGATTTTATGGTTTCGTGAATTTAAGCGGGAATTTAACACGCGGCCTGTTTGAAATTAATGAACGATACATTCACGGCTAAAGAAAAGAAATGGTTGCGACTTACATAATATCACCAAGCTTGACCCGCGTTTGTATGAGGGCGCAGCTTTTGTGATCGCTGGTGGTGACGGCTCTTCGTCTCCTGGTGGCATACTTGGGCATATCCGACTGCGACGTGCCGCCGTCAAGACCGCCGGTCCCTGAAGTGGCGCCATAAGTGAGGCCCACACCGGCACGCACCAGCGGGATACTGCCACGCCGACGCGTAGACACGTGTCGACCTCCCACGCTGCCCAACATCCTGAAAGCATAAAAGAAGAACCGTTTTAAGTATAAAGCACAAGACAAATTATTTCGCGCGAGCAGCGGACCTTTCATTTTCAATATTTTCTATTATAACTGGCTGTAAGAAAATGAAGTGGTTAACAGAAAAATGTAAACATTGGGCGTTTCTGCTCGAGTGTACGTAGTCTCTTAATCGTCGTTCTGTGCGATGTCGCGTCGCGAACCAATTATACTATCGCCTGATACAGACGAAAAAGAATAACGAGCGCATTCCGAAAGCTCCTAATTTCATTATTAAAACTGCTGCAAGCCACAGCCGTGCTCTGAAGTTTCGCGAAGCTCATCGGTACAAAGCGCAACGTGATACATTAAATTGTATTTCGCGATGTAACGTCAGGCTAAATCGCCGCTTGTTCTCGGTCGGTGAAAAAAGTTTTCGCAGGGATGGACTAACGAGGCATGGAAGGAGTCCGAAGCGTTACCATTCCTCCGTTAATTAGGTTACGTTGACTGCCTTAATCTCGGCGCATGAACGGGCGGCGGTAGTCACGCGATCGAGCACTCGCGCTCGTCTATTTTTCGACACCTATGCCGCTGCCATTAATAGCTTTTTTCTCCCTCAATGTGTCGGCGATGCCCACCCTCAATCATCTTCGTCGACACATTCAACAAGGAAAAGTCGATCGTAACGCGTGTAGAGAAAAAAAGAAAGAGAAAAAATGACATAAGAAACCGTCGTTTTCACTACCTACGTTCCCGATAAACGAATAAATAATGGATATGTGCAAGCCGATTAGCTGTGTTGGGAAAATTACAAAAGTAAAAATCAAAATATTATCTCGGAGAGAAGCAAACGTGAATGCAGAAACACGCAATCCAGTTAGCCGTATCGTAAAAATAAAAAAGTAAGAGGCCGAGAGTATTACATGGGGCAGAATCAAGAAGTTCTATGTGCAGAAATGCGAGTCGGTCAGCTGTATCTGCTGAAAATTAAAAAAATCTAAGAGTCAAAATATTATATCGGGGGAAATCAAAGCCGGTTAACTGCATCGTGAAAATTAAGATTCCTTCGAATCCCCATCTCAGCAAATCTCAATTTCTCGGTTTGATCAGACATTTTACGCGAGCATCGCTCGCATACGAGCCGCTATTGAATCACCCCGTTCATTGAGGAACAACGTTCACCGTTGCGTCGGCAACATGCACAAATGCGAAATATTCTATTAATTATTCGCGTTCGCGCTGCATATTGGCTTCCTCGTGACTTTCAAACGTCAATGCACGCCTCTTTTTCCCCCGTTCGTACCTCTCTTCATTTCCTGAAAACGTCCGTCGTGCGCTGAAACGACGGAAAATAAAGTGCCACGGCGGCTATCTACGCGCTCTTTGAAATCCGATTAATCATCATTCGAACGCGACGTATCGCCACTATACCCGCCGAACCGAAATCATGTGGATAGGAGTATCCTCGAATATGGCACGCGCGGTCATCAAAGCATGATTTCGAGATTCGGGGGCGTATTTTTAGAGCAATTAAAAGCTTGACCTGAAAAAACTTGCAAGAGAGTCCGGAAAAAAAAAAAATACACATGCGTGCGCGTACACAGAGAGAAAGAAAGGTCTGTACTTTCTCCAATACTGTATTTTAAAACATATTTTAAGAGTATGAAAAAAATAATCTTTACATTTGCTTGCATCGGACATAATTAAAGAAATACAACGTAATTTAATTGTTACTATTGTTATATATAGAATATACTGAGTCGAAATGTGGATCCTATGTTAAACCTTTAACTAAAATGTATCGTCAAAGTAGGTTTTTATTAACCTGTAGGCCGTCTAAGTAGGCGCAAACTATCTTTAAAAGCGTCAGAGTAGCGTTACAATTTCAACTCGGACGGTTTTGGAAGATGTCATTTTATTTTAAAGTCGGCAATTTTTGAAACGATATGAAACTTACGTCGATGATAAGGACAAACTCGCAACACGAATATGAAGAGATGCATTGTAAATATCTTTGTAGCGAAATCGTCTCGATCACGATGAGGCGTTTTGGATCGACCGCGATACACGGCCGCCGTTGTTTCCGTCAATATCGAGTTTGAGACTACATTTCGCGTTTTGCGAAGTTTCACGAAGTTTCGCACCGAAACACATTACGCTAAGCAGCCGCACGTAGATCAGGGAATATTAAGTAGATGTATATTCCTCGGATCGAAAGCATATTTGGTTACACAGTTTACGTGTTGCGCGCCTCGAGCAGCGCTGCCATTTAGAGAACGCGCTCGGAATTCTAAATTACAGTTTTGCGAAATACCGCGAAATCCTTGTTCATCAAACGAGACAGATCTCAAATCCGTCGGACATGTACGTCTTAGCAAATATGACGTAAAATCGGAAGGGGGGGGGGTCGAGAGAGAGAGAGAGAGAGAAGCTGCACTAAAACAGAATCAAATGAAAAATAAGAATCACCCACCCGAACTACGATGTATAGACTAATAAAAACCTATTTTGACAATATTGACCACTCAGAAAAATTGTTTTGCAGTCAAAGCGAAAATTATCTAGACATAAGATATTAGTTAAGATGGATAAATGACTAATGAACACTTTAATTCATATATGTTTTGATCTAATATGTTATGATCTAATCAATATGGGTGACAGAGATAGAATTTTTATCTGAATTACTTGTTTAATTTAGCAAAAAGGTCTGTCTGTAGGACCTTCGGCCAGTTATACTTCTTATTAAAAATTAATAACAAAGCTTAAATTTTCCTGGTATATATTGCTAGAATGCTCTAAATTATGCGTACTATAATTTTCCAGCAGATACTAAAAACAGCAATACATTTTACCTGTGACATTTAGAATTCTAGCTGGATCAGCAAAACATTTTCGTGAGTGACACTTTTTCTTCTCCCTTTAATTCTACAAATTGAATTTTAATGCTACCTTCAACAACCTATTCTAATGTTAAATCAACAAAAACCAAAATTTAAGACCTCATCAAAATAGGAGTCATAATATATTATTATTAATTGAATTTACTTTGCTATCTTAGCTTCTATACTATGTTATAAAATAAAAAATTCGACATAGAGCCAAAATTTCGACTCGGGCAATTTCCAAAATCCAGATTTGAGAATCTCACAAACAATCCTCCCTTGACGTTTTTCGTCGAAAAAGAATCGCTTCCGCAAGATCGTCGAGAAGAAAAAATCCGATCCCCAAATACACGATGGATAAGCGAGCCGGCGGCAGAGAACGCAGGCCGGCGAGGAGATAGAAACGTGATTCTTCGTCCGTTTCGATTCCTCGCGGATTGAATCGTGACGGTGAATATTCACCGCCGACAATTCGCGCGTTAACACGCCGGTTCGCAGTTATTTGCGTGAACGAATTATTATCCGGTCCGTCTATCGAATGAACAAAACAGAATTACAATCCATTACGCGTACAATCGACGCGCCCACGCGCGGAAACGCGAGCGTTCGCACGCCCGCACACAGCGACGTAACGCGAAATTTCGCACGAACGGATATGTATTCCGTTGCGATATCGCCCCGTTATCGCGCTATTAGATAATCAATCCGCACATTTTTCCACGGAACTCGCCGAGCCCATTTAATACCGTATCGTTACACCGAATCGCCCTCATCCGCGCATCGCTCATTCGTTCGTTTATCCCACTGTAGAGACGCGTAGTGAAATGAAAGCATAACGAAAATCCGCCGGGGTATCGCTCCGTGATCCATACGTCGAAGGAATACAAAAACGTATCGATGTCGAAGCACGTATCGAAAATAATTCGCGCAATAAAATTACAAAGGGCGAAAAAATATGATACATTTCTCTCGAAATGCGCCGCGATTTCTCGTCGTATTCGACTTTCGCGACGGCCTTTTCTGCTGTGACATTTTTTTCTTTTTATTCATTCATATCATTTTATACACCCGATTTGACACTGTTTACGCGAATCAAGCTGGAACATTTGATGATTCAACTCATACAATCGTGCAGACTCTCTCTCTCTCTCTCTCTCCCTCTTTCTCCTCCTTCGCGAATCATATTTCGGAACGCTTTCAGAGGTAGACAGTGAAAAATCGAACAGGACATGCCGGCGTATCAATGCGCTTTACGTAAACGTTTAGGGAAAGTACATAGGTCGCCTACCTACGTACACGTCGCTATAGAGCGAGACTTTCCATGTCGGTGGTCGAAATTTTAGGATAGCAACCTGTTGCTAGGCATCCCGGGAACTCTTATCCCACCCTCGCTGTTACCCAGCAACCTCTGCCCTACTCTCACCTCCCTCCATTTCTCTCTCTCCCTCCTTCTCCCTTTGTACGTATCGTCTTTCCAGCTCTCTCGAGAGATCACCTTTTTATGCCCGGACCATTGTCCTCTTCATCTCTACTCTTTTGTACAATGGCCCTCCTCCTCCCGCTTCTCCTCCAATCGCAAATATTTCTTTCGTCGCCTTTTCCCGTTCGCTTCGCGATCTACCGTCGCGTCAATTCATCGACCTCTACTACTTTTCTCGTTCGCCGACTTTCCCTTTTTTCCGCCCACGTATTCGATACTTCGTGATGCCAGGGAATAATGAGGTTCTATTCGCGCGCACCCTCATCCGTTTCCTTGTTTATTATTAAAAAGTGGTACTAACAGTTCGATTTAAATGAGATCCACTATTTATAAACTCGAAAATAATCCCGAAATGGAAAAGCCGCAGATACAAATATCCATGCCAGCAACTTTTGCGGTAATACTGAATAAATTCCTGTTATATAATCCCGCAACCAAAATTGTGGCAATTTTGATTTCCATGTTAAAACAAAATCGTGAAATTCACGAGTTCGGTGAACGATGAGAATCGCCGTGTTGTTTGCACGTTTGTGCCGCGAGGGTGACGGTTTCGCAACAGAGGCTCTCCCTCCTGTCTCGGGGCGGTTTCCCGCTCTCTTGCCGCTCGATACAATTCTACGACGCCTTAGGAAATCTAATAAAGAGCCG